AGTTAACGCGACGCGCGACATCTGCACATGCTTCGCTTAGATACGAGCCTATTAGGCAAATTTCGTGGCGAGCACGCTCGCCGACTGCAAATATCGCTCGGTCAGCGCCGAGCAGGATACCACTTCCGTCGTGGCGCGGCCGGGTGGTCGGCGCTTAACGCGGCCGACATGTTCCGCGCCTCCTTCTTCTCGCAAATTTTCGAAACGCGTTACAAGTCGCAAGAAACGTAGCCTGGCCGTCACCAGACCCTTGATAACAGAGAGCGGACACGGGCCGAATCGCCAATGGGACAGCCCGGGCCAGTTGCGTAAGTGGAAACCGGCCGATTCTCATTTTTATTTATCTACCTTTGCTTCACTCAACAAGGGAATATCCTACCCGCGTAGAAACGATCGAATTAGGCAAATGCGTCAGACCGACAACAGCCTCCTACAAAACATTCTTTTCGCCGATGCAATTAATCTTGTCGATCCGCGTGAGTCGTATCGCGTTGGGCAGATAAAAGCACGTTAGCCTTCTTTCCGTTTCGTTGTCCCGTTGTTTCCTTTTTCTTGCTATGCTAATGCGACACGTATGTTCCTTGCTTGGTTATTATGTACGTTATTACGCACGGGTAAGGTTAGGTAGGTATAGTAGGAATCGTAGTGATTCTGCGTGAAAAAATGAGTCGAAGATTATTTTTTTATTATTTATAGAAATTAATAAATAAAATATGCAAATTAAATAATAAAAAAAATAGCCGTGTCGTAAATCTAGTGTCACTTCCGATCTTCGTGAACGTGTTGCGAGAATCGTTCGGCAACCGGGCAAACGTCCACTTTATTCTTTCATGATGCAGCTTATATTTTTTAATGGATTTTTTGAATCGTAAAAACTGTTACTACTGAACAGCAAAATTTTTGGAAAAGCCGAAGAACGTAAATAAAATTATTAAACTTTCGATCGAATAAAAATTCGAGAAAATTTCTCATAGGTATAATACTAATCATTTATATCAACGGTATTGTATACTACAATATTGCATATCATTATAGTATTATTGTTATATATTATCGACATATAGTATTATATATTGGACGTGCTTAGTATGATACGCTCATCACACGTTCTAACAGCAGAATATGACTTTAGATGGTACGCGATTGTTTTGCACGTGGGTAGAGCACGTGTGGCCCTTTTTGTATTTCCGACTAGTCGCGAGCGACTACAAAACCCATCGTCGTATATGGCACAATTTCCATTCCTGCTGCTACGACTCATCGCGACAGAAGAGGCGCGTGCGACTGCAAAGTAAATGTACGACATACACACGTGCCATTCCCACACCCAGAACAATCGCGCGAGACTGAACGTCATTTTGTTGCTAAAAGCGTCAGGAATCTCGACGAAGGACGCTTTAATATACAGTGCTATTAACTTACGATACTAAACTAATATATAATGTTATAGTTTATAATACATTCTTACTACAAATAATTAAAATTATAAAGATCTTAATATTTCACAGATACCCAAAATTACATTGTTTTATTTATGTTTCTTGGCTTCTGCAATATTTTTTTCTTCGATACTAACAGTTTTCCGGCATAAATAGATCAGTAACTTTTTATAAGAAATGCCATGACGGATTCATTAGCGTGTTAACACTAAGCTTGTTAGTTAACTAAAGCTTAACTAGGCCTAGTCAAATGACGACTTGAAAATTTAATTTAACTTAATTTAATATCAAATTTCATTGAAAATCCCACATTCGTCGTTGCTTCCTTTTAAAAGATGATTTGTTCCCCTAAAAAGCATCGAATTACTTGGCAATTCGCGTCCAACTAGTCGCAAATGGGAAACAGCTAGAAAAATGTACCGAATATCCAGCTGGACAAATTGTAAACTACAAATTAAATAAAAAATTAAAGTTACAAATTAAATAAAACAAGCCTCATCTCACGACAAATTGTTCATTCCGTCCAACCCATCACTACCGATTTCACCGATTCTTATCAGCATCCCATGTCACTGTCGAGTCTCGTGCGATCGTTACACGCACCGATGAAACAATGTTGCGCCAATATCTTTTGCAGTTTGACGCAAAACGTTACTGTCGTTCGAACCAACCTATATAGGTGCTTGTACATACGCAGCCACCTTCTCTTCCGAGTAAAACTGAAGCGATGTAAACGATAGTCTCGTCACGGTCTCGTGACACTATCGAGCATCACGCAATCGTTGCATGCACGAGCGAGACAATGTTGAACCAATATCTTACAGCCTGACAGGAGACGTTATTGCCGGTTGAATCAACTGACGTATATACGTATGTAACTACTTAAGTGCTTTTTCCATCGAGCAAAGATGAGGAACGTAAACGATAGCCGTGAGCGGACTATGGATAGCGGATACGTAAGTCCATATTTACGACGAAGAGTACGCGCAACAGACTATATGCAGGAGAAAAATCTGCATAACATGAATTAAGGAAAGAACACGTAACTCAGCCTCGTACGCTGCATCCCCATTGACGTTACAATACTAATATTATCGCGGATACAAGTTAGCAAGTAGAAATTAATTTTCATGATAGACTAGCGATAGATCGATCGGAGTGGCATCGACACGCTAACCTGAACCGATATAACAAGCTGTTCGATGTCCGACGGAACAGATTGCAGGCAATCTATGGGATAACGAGAGAAAAAAAGTGATGGATTGATAGACTTGTGATACGCTGTTGCACGAATCTTAATGCATAGAAACTACATGGAAAGAAACGAGTTCTGCTGGTATCTTGCAGCCTCGTTAACGTCACAATGCCATTATCGTAGATAAAAATCTGTCACTAGAAAGTACGAATTAATTTCAATCACAGACTAGCAGCGCCCCTTGCATACCTTGTTGTAAACCGAAAGAAATGAGATCCGCCATAAGCGTTTCTTCCTATATCAACTTCTTTCTCTCTCTCTCTCTCTCTTTCTCTCTGTACCTGCTGATTCTTTTTTCTTTTCCTCTTCTTTCCCGTTCCCGATCGCATCTCATCGCTGCGCGATCCGCTTCAGCATTATAATTTCAAATGTACATCACACTGCGAGACGTATGCACGTTGCAAATACACGTTTGCAGGAGGGTCGAGGCGTGCCACCGCGACCAGTCCGTCTGCGTTAAATGCTCCAATTATTAATTTACCTCGCTCACAATGTCCGGCGTGTACGCAAAGACGAATGCAACGTGTTATTCCGTGCAGTGCACGTAATGACGTTCTCCGGCCGGCAGAACCCGCGCTCATCTTTCTCTTCCACTTGTTGCTTGTCTTTGGCTGCCATCTTCGCGTTTTCGACGGTATTAACCGAGACCACGTGGTTGCCTTCGGCTACGCCGCAACAGGACCACGTTTTTTCGCCCTAAACATCGGTTGCCAAACGTCGCGTCGCACGGAAAATCTGCACCAGCTCCAAGGACGTTTTCGTTTGACAGATATCGTCGCCAGACAGTAAACGATTTTGTATCTTTCTTTTCTATTATTATTTAATTTGTATCTTATAATTTGTCCAGCTGGACATTTGGTAAATTTTTCTAGCTTAAGTTTGTATCTTGACGACCTAAGAAATTGAATATCGTTTCGACGATAATAATAAATAACAATAAAAATAGCTTTTAGTATTTGGTATTTCTCGTCACAACTTCAATATTAAATATCAAACAGCAGGTTTCATTATTTAATTTGTACCTTACAATTTGTGTAACTGGACATTTAGTAAATTTTTCTAGCTTAAGTTTGTATCTTGACGACCTAAGAAATTGAATCTCGCTTCGACGATAATAATAAATAATAATAAACAGTTTCTAATGTTTGATATTTCTCGCCACAACTTCAATATTAAATATCAGACAGCAGGTTTCATTATTTAATTTGTACTTTACAATTTGTCCATTCGGTAAATGGCAGCACAAATATTATTTGGTATCGTTTGGTATTTTTACTGTTTATAATATCATCAACGCGAAATAAGTACCGTAATGTTCCCTGCGGGAATAAAAGCAGAGTAAGCGGAAATTAGTTTTTGCTATTTACATTACTGTACTCTCATAGAAAGAAGACTAAAAAGAAAACATCCCACTAACCTCACTAAAGAAATAAAATAGTCAAACTCGAAGATGGTATTCTGTTGGGGATAGCCATTCACATGTTATTTAGCAATTAAGTTAGAAAAATTTACCAAAGGTTCAGCTGGACAAATTGTAAAGTACAAATTAAATAAAAAGGAAAAAAAAAACATTACTTTCAAGGAAAGGCGAGGTAAGACGTGAGATTCCCGGTAACTTTTTGCTGTGCAAATAAAAGCAAAATTAAACGTTCGAAAGTATCCCGCATCGAATAATAAATTGACTGAAATTAGCGAAATTGAAACTTGGATAGTTTAATCTGCACGAATAGCATGCAAGTACAAAGTTTCTCTTTGTCCACAGGCAACCCATTTTGCCCGTATTATTTTATTCAACAAAGAATGCAAAATATCTCCTTTTCAACAATTACACCGATAATAACCTATAATTTATCCTTCCAACTAATTATAGATCTGCTCTGCCATATACCAACGTTTCATTATGTTTCTCTTTCCCTTCGAATTATCAGAGACACGTGGTTTCACAGACACGTACGTCCCTTTCCGACCCGATCGTCAACCTTATAATCAAACGCACGTCCTTCCTCGTCTACCGATCATGCTTTACTTTCCATCATTTAAAATGCACTTACACGCGAGACCAAACGAACAGAGAATTTATTGCGACTCGAATGATTCTCGTTCCGTGTTGAGCGGTGCACTGGCCCTCCCATCTTGCGGAGCCTCATTAAAGCTTATTAAATGATTTTCCGGGCCAATTTCATTCAATTACATCGCCGTGTACGGCACGGTAATTAACTTATCCGATTTTTAGACGCCGTGTATCTCGACTTTTCGCAAATTGTCGTAAATCACGGACTTCCTTTCCATCCTCTTCTCCAACTCGAAAACGCACACGTTCGTTTCATGAGACTCGAAAATGGTGTCCCGCTGGGGTTAACCATCTACATGTTATTCAGCAATTAGGTTAGAAAAATTGACCAAATGTTCAGCTGGACAAATTGTAAAGTACAAATTAAATAATAATAACAAAAAAAAAAAGAAATAACTTTCACTGTTTAAAATAGATAAACTCAAAGGTGGTATCCCGCTGGGGTTAGCTATCCACGTGTTATTCAGCAATTAGGTTAGAAAAGTTGACCAAATGTCCAGCTGGACAAATTGTAAAGTACAAATTAAATAATAATAATAAAAA